TAAAAATGACATTGGTTTAACGTAAGTTTTTCAAATAATCTATATGTTGTCAAGAAACTCTCACCATATTTCTTACTGGTAGTAATTAATAATTCATCAAGATTTTTATTCACTCAGTGAATCTTTTAAATACACAATAAGAGAATAATAAGCACCAATAGAAGCATTATTGTTTGAGATATTCCGCTTCTATGGTGCTTATTATTCTCTTATTTTGTATTGAATGTACCCACTGAATAAATAAAAACCGTAGTGACTCATTTCACTAAAGATATAAACAACGGCACTTATTAATTAGAATGATGTATTTTTATTTCCAACCACCTCAGAATTTTCCCGATAGATTGATAACAACATAAAGATTCAAACGATAGTTCAAAAACGCATCGAGAACAATTCAATTTCATTGATCTCATTGTGGATTTTTTCATGAATTGAATTTATCCCCACAGTCTGATAAAATCCCATTAGACTTGATGAGGCTTAAGATGTAAGTCCCTATTGTTTCCTCTTTGAAACTATCATCAGACATGACTTTGAAAGTTATCAGAATCGTCCATAGTTTAACATTAAACGGGTGTCAGTCTACCTTTCAGCTGCGCTCAAACTCCACCTAGACTGTAACATCTCAAGAACTGCAAATACTCAAGACACATAATGGCAGAATCCAAGGAATTTTAGGAATACTAAGAACTGTAAGGATTCAACAGATTGTCAGAACATAAAGAACCAAACGTCTTTTTTTAGTATCTGGGAACCTATTCGATATGTGAAATGCTTGAAGTTCCAACAATCTTGTAATACGTTATGTCTGTTTCATTACGTTTTTTTTTTCTGAACTTACGTAATTGGTGCAATTAGAAGTATTTTAGTATATACGCTCTATTAAACTAATATTTCGGTGATGAAATAATATTAATCAATTAAAGAATAGTCTATAATACACATAGAATATATCTGATCGTTTCTCACGATAGCTATTATCATAACTAGCAGAAAATTTATGGTTCAGTGGACACTTCAATGAATACAGTTGAGTGTCCTATCGTCTTGAGGCCGAGAGATGTGCAAGTTTTTCTTTGGTAATCTCAGTTTCGTATTCTGTCATTTTCATAACTATCCGTAAGGATTGCGAAGAGGTCTTGATAGATTCCGATATGTTAACATTTAAATTAAACAATTTATATTCAAAAAGTCATTGTTTCAATGTGTAAATTTTACTTTTTGCCTCTTTTATTAAAAGTTCTACATATCCATGAATATTGCTTCCAAAAATATTCTCCGGTAACAGACTAGTTCCAACAATAGTCTTTTAGAACTGCTAGTAATCCCAAATATATTGGAAATAATATGAAATTTAATACAGATACCACCTGTGTTCTTGGTTTTTCTAGGATTGATTAAGTTCCTTAACATGAATTTGTATGGGCTATTGTGAAGTGTCAGAGTATATGAGTTTTAAGGGTATTTTGGTCTTTTTGAAATTCTAGAAGTTCAGAACTCATGGACTGTGGACAATGCTAATTGTTATAAACCTACTAGAGAAGTGAATGCCTTTAAGAAACATTCCATGAAAATCCTGGAGATTTTTCCTCTATCGAAAAATATGGTCGATCTTCGATTTTGAACTCAGTAATCTTGAAAGATAGTCCATCTCGTAACATACTCGAATGTAAAATTTCCGAATGCTGTATCTTTTCCTCGATTAGCTACAACTGATCTGCTATGTAGAATCTCTTCGACACTGTAACATTGTGTTTTTAGAGCGTACTCTGGCCTGTTGAGTATTTGTTCGATATTTTATAATGGTTCAAAAATAATGATATAAGACTCAGTGCCATCAGCAGGAGTGAAACAGGATAGACTCATACAACTGCGAAAGACTCTTTCAATCTTGAAAACTAAATCTTACTTCAAAATTGAGCAGGAATCTATTGAATTTTTTTGAACTCTGAAATCAAGTCTATTTGTGGACCTTAAAATGTTGTAACATGATTAAAAGATTTCATCGCAGTTGGATGAGTCTATCCTATGCAATGCAGGCACCAGAGATGGAACTGGTACTGGTTATGAATCCTCGAAAATTCAGATCGATTCCATCTCTGTTAGGGGCCGTCACTAATGACAATCGATTGAGGTCAGTGCGCTCTACAAAACAGTGTGCTGATTTTTCCTCTCAGGCTTCCATATTGATTTAAAAAGCCAAAATATCGTTTTTCATTGTAGTCGACATTGCTATTCTTGCTAGTATTCTAGCGGAATATTCATGTTTATCAAGAATTACCAAAAAGCTAGACAATAAACAGTTTTTTGCTGAACATCTCTTAGTTTGTCTCTTGCTTATCGACTATCTTCAACTAAACAGCTTATGTTAGCGATGCTAGAATTATAGACTTATGTTTTACCATACTGTTTTGTACTAATAGCACTTTACACCGATATTTTTTTTTTGCTTTTTTTTGAATAGTTACTCTGTTTACAGGTTTTTCATATTTCTAATATCTGTAACCATTCAGCGCAGTGATTATAATTAAATGCTTTCAAATATAGAGTTAAAGTGCAAAGTCATGTTCTGTATAGTTAGTGAAGTGTCCTATTGACTCAGTTATATTTTTAAAGATAGAATGAACAATACCACAACAAACGACATAAATAGCATCGAAAGTACTCTTTCTAACATTTCCAGTCAACTGATCATCTACGGTGGCTTATTTCTGTTGCTCATTGGTAATATAAATTGTGTTGCAAATATGGTCGTATTTCAATCACGCGTGTTTTGGAAACGAGCTTGTTTCATCTACTTGTTTTGGGAATCAGTTACCAACTTCTGGTTTTTGAATTGTATACTTGTCACACGCATTTTGCAATCCGGTTTTCAAATTCCTATTATGACTCGTTATGATGTGATTTGCAAAATTCGAGAGTTCATCTCAGAATACATGTTCCAGAGTGGCAACACGTTCTTCATATGTGCTACACTTGATAGACTTTTATCGGCACAACGTTCAATCAGTAAGTACAAATAGTTACAATAACAATACTGTGAGACGAACATTCTAACACTATATTTGTACACGAGTTTACGTTCAAATTGCAAGTCGGAGAATTAGTAATGTAGCACGATATCACTCTGTTCTAGTTTTCTCGCAATTTTCAGCTGAAAATAGAAATGACATCTATCTTATGCATAGTTTCCAAAGAGTGTTGAAATGCAGAGATAGTACTGAACTGAGCTGATTGGTACCAGTTCTATTTGTGTTGTGATGTGCTCAATAATGTTAGCTAGTTCTGTTTAGTATTTTGATGGTAATGCTAATGTTCATAGGATCACAGAAATAGTGTACACGTGAAAATCCTAGTGAAACTTTTTATCTCATATAAAAGTAATTCCAAGTGTTTAATGAACTATCAGTACGGTTTGGTAATAAATTAAAAAAATATTTTCTTATGTTACAGCATATCGACAATGGAGCAATCGTGTTTCTCTTGCTTATAAACTAGTACTGGCATGTGCACTCTTTTGGATATTGATCTTGGGTCATCGATTAGTATATTACACTAATTCAAATGGATATTGTGCAGCTCAAGAAGGAAAATACGCTCTTTTTGATACTTATCTTGAGGCATTCCTGTCAGGAGTATTTTCACCTGTTACTGTGATCGTGCTCGCGTTTCTGCTTTTACAAAGTTTTCGAAGCATCCTGAAACGACGTGTAATGCCCATCAGTTTTGCTTCAGCAAAACCCAATACAAATTTCTCGCACCTACAACGGATCGACTCACAGTTGACGCGTATGCTGTTTCTGCAATCACTCATTGCTATTATTGCGTATATTCCTTATGGAGCTGCAGTTCTCTATTTCAACATCACTGACAAGTGGACTAAATCGACAACACAACAGGCTTGGGAACAAGTTATTGGTAACATTATTCGTCTATTTTCTTATCTGTTTGCTGTGACTGCTTTTTATGTATCGATGATTTCGAATCGTGGATTTCGCGAACAATTTATGCGTTCATTTGGAATAAAAAGAACCGTTCATCCACCGAAAAGGAGCAAGCACCACCATTAATCTTTTAATCATTCGTAATATTAAATCAAACTCAACGAATACCTTAAGAGTGGCATGGGGATGTGAGCTTTCACTAGAGAAGTCCTTCACTTACATCCTCTTCGTGTTTTAACAAAGAGAAGATCATTCTGAACTTTTCCTTTTATTCATTATGTTTTATTAATTCTCTTTTTTTCTCAATAAACTATTCATTCTCTTTCATTTGTCTGGACAGTACATTTTTATTTAATTGGAACCTGACCAACTTGTTGTCAGAGCAAAATCATTATAAAAGATATCGAATATTGAATCATTAGTAAAACAGGTGAAGTTGTATAACAAACGGGTATAATTTCATTAATTTACTTATTATTCACATGAATGAATGTCATCTATTAGAACAAATTTCCATTTGAAACATATATCGACTCATGATCATCTGCAAATACTTGAAAACGGATACATAGACATTTGAGCTTCTTGACAGTTAAGGACGTGGGTAAGAGTGCATGTGGATGGATGGGTATGAATATAGTTATGCGTAGTGCGGGTGTCGATGTGAAGAGAACCCACATCTACCTCTACGTCCTGTTGTGATCGGTATTATATATCGGTGCATTTTTAATGTGACTTCTTCATTGCGATATTCTTTCAATTAATCATCATACACTCATGTCTATCCTTCTCTTTTTCCTCTTCTATTTACTTTGTTGTAAGGATAAGAACCAATAGGTATCAATAGAACGAAAGAACAGCAGTTGTGGCACTTTCACACCCGCAAAAGAACACTGTACGTTGATTTTTTTCCTCTATACTTTAGAAAGTAACAACATGACATTAGACGTGCACGTAATTACTAGTGGTATTGAAATTCCACAGTCGATCCGTGGTCCGCAGACGATGAACAATGAAAAAAGTACACTGATGTTGAAAACGAAATTATTGAGAATGAAAAAAAAATCAAAAGAAGTTCGATATTGAAATCGATGAAGATTATATAATTAACTTAGAATGTTTATTGCAATATAAGAAAGGTGATGAATCTACAGCACATCCCATTAAACGTGTTCAGTTCCACAAAGATAGAAGTAATATTCATCCACGTGAAGAACGATTTTTATTACCAATGACACTTGCCACTTCAGTATATTCGTCTCAGCAGTTGCAGGATGAAAATGAACTTGATTGGCTGCAAACACATGGTTCTATTACGGGTTCTTATTGGAAGCTGGAACTAAAAGACAAGAATAAAAGAATTGCTGATGTTGTTGAAGAGGTTGGTGATGAAATTATTGAATAAGGATTAGTGATTGGTAAACTACATGAAGCACAATGGTTCTCTCAGCAATTAGTGGCTGTCAAAGATTTTGGTTCCAACACCAAAGTAGACTCTATTAAAAGGTTTCCATCGGAAATCTGTGGAACCTGTGTCTATCTCTATACAAAAGAGTCATTCTGGTATAAATTAATTAATCGTGTCCTCCGTGATCCACATTCTATCAGTCGTAAACAAGTGAAAAGCTTAGGATCATTCTGTTGGCTACTTGATTGGTATTTGTATGCAAATCCTACAGCAGACATTTCAACAGTATACCGTAGTTTAAATGTAGACAATGAACAGCGAAAGCAATTCGTAGAAGAAGTGATGAAATTCACATATTTTACTTCAACAAGTCGTAACTGCAGAGTTGCTGAGTTTTATGATGGAAATACACTTCTCATTATTGATCTAAATCTGTGCGATAATAAACATAAACATTTTCTTTGTGGTAGAAACATATCATCTTTATCTGATTTTCCTCAAGAAGAAGAATTCTTAATTTGGCCAGGGAGAGAATTTGCTTTTGTTAAATATGAGTATGATATTGTGAAGAAGAAACATGTCATTTATTTAAAGTCGTTAAGTTGGGATTGATAAATTCATCATAACGTTCGACTTTAATTTTATCTGTCTCATACCACTACACCATATCTACTCCTTATATTATATGAAAAATTGTGCGCCTGCTTCATATACGTATTACAACTTCAACACCTAAGGTTGTGCTCTCCGAATCTGAAACATGAACGTTTGTTCTTCTAACATGCTTCTGTTCTACAAAGTAGACCAATATCAAAAGTTTGGCATACATTCGATTACGTCTGTCTTCGTCACGGCACT